TATAATATATATATCACAGTTACAATAATTAACACACTGCATATTGTCTTTGTAGTTATTCAGAGGACAAGATGCAGACATGATATCTTGTCTAAACAGTATTAGTACAAACCTTTCTTCTCACTGAACTAAGAGAAAGTAGCTGTATATCTATCCTAAGTATCTTGTATATATATATTTTTTTTCCACTACAAAACAGTCCTTTATACATATCCCCCTTTTGTGTTTTGTTTTGTCAGAGATGAGTGTTCCACTGTTGTTGGAGAAACTGTATTTGGAGAAGTCTTTAAAGGACCTTTTCATACTTGATGCCAGTCCAAATATTGTAGGTGAGTGAATTCAGCAAAATAACGTAATATAGTCCAATAGTCCATAATAGTAGTGAGTTACAAGCACGACAAGCAATAGTCAGAAGTTGCTGACTTGAGCCTTTTACAGCTCAGCATATTAACATAGTTTTATTTTTATATCTCATGGTTACACTTTTCTGCTGGATGCTTAAGACCAAGTTAAAGCAAGACCTATATAACTAAAAATATAACTTTTCTCGTCTAATAAGGTCAGCCAAGTCCCCTCAGGTTTTACCCTGGAATCATGTACAGCACTGTGGATCTTTTGTCAGTGTCAGCCATCTGGATGAGTCACAGCCATTGCTTGACCAATTTGCTCTCTGTGAAAGCCTGAGAGAATTTTTTTTCTCTAGGTGACTCTCCTTAGGCACACTCTACATCACTGATCACCTTCCTCTGTGGCCCCATAATCTCTTTGATCAGAATACTTGGGACACCACTTAGTTACAGGATGCCACAGCAGAGGTTCTCTTATGTCCTGAGTCCTCACTAACGTTGAAGGGCTAGAGCCAGAATATCGGCTATCTTTTTAGACCATCTATCTGTCTAGTTACAGTGATTACTTTATGGAGGGCATCAAAGACCATTCCAGACAGTTTAGGCAAATCTTTTAAAGACAAGAGGCCAAACTGCAATCCCAAAACCAGTTATTTATTGCAAAGTGTCAACACTACCATTAGACCTGAAAACTGAGGTTTTAGTTTAGAAAAACCACATGCACATTAACCTCTTTTGCCTTAAAACACAAAACACATGTGTGCTCCTGGTTCATCATCACCGGTTTAGAGTTTATACAGGTAAAGATTATTTGGGGAAGAGATTGTACTGTTAACTCTTGAATAATAAGAATGCATGTTCCTCTTAACTTTTTAAAAAAGTTCACAGTGCTGGTCAGGAAAAAGCAGCAACATAAAATTATAAAAAGTCTCAAACATCTATCTCTTCTTGTGCCTTCATCTACTTGTACCTGGAGGCCTATAGCTTTCTGGATCTATCTCCTACAGCCTCACCTCCTGTATCTCAGCCCATTTCTCAATACTGTTATCAAAAAGACCTTTCTAAACCTTTACTGTATCTTTAGTCATTCTCACTACACCTAGAGAGTGGCTTTTGGCCAACTCAAGAAAAATAATTTGAATTTCTCAATGTGGTACTAGGCCCTTCGTTAACTGGCTCTGGATTCATCTTCCCAAAGTTCTAATTCTTGACCTACCTGCATTTTTTCAGACACATCACAGTTTTACTTTCATAAGGGTTTCTCAAACTCAGCACTATATGCATTATGGGTCCTGTAATGTTTCACTGCTGGAGACTGGCCTTCACAATGAAAGGTCATCATCTCCTCAGAATGACCATCCAGTATATCTAGATACTCTCAAATATCCTTTGAGGAATAAAATCATTCCCACTTAGAACCAATGACCTACAACCTTGACTGTACATGTTAACATGAGCTAACTTCTTGCTATGTAGCACATACAGTTGGAAATTCTTCATATAAGTAACTCTTCTAAACATAAAACTTCTACTCAGCTGTCACTTACGTACCCCTCATTATGCCACTTGGGTGACACACCAACTAGCCTTTTTTTTTTTTTTTTTTTTTTTTGAGTATCCTGTACACTTATTCCAGTCATAAACAATATTATAGTATTGCAGGCAGTCGAGTTAGATAAAAATATTACAGGCAGTCAGACAGGCCCAGGCCCTTGAAGGAGACAACACGAAAGACAAGCTATCTTGCAACTGTGGGAGGGATGGATGCTCCTACTGTGAACCAGACCTAAAAGACCTAAAGGCCAAACAAATGCTAAAAGAATAGTACCAAGGATTGATATTCTAAATAGGTATCCATCACTTGGAAAGACCCAAGTGAGTCACTAGCCCAGCCCCCAACAGGAAGAGATCCTGTCCTGTATTCCAACTCCCAACAGGCCGTATTCATGCCCACTTACTCCATGACTTGCTTCCCCATTTGGTCCTGGGCGTAATCAATTTCACCTGAGTAATGGTGCTTGCAATCCCATTGGTTGACCATAGTTTTGTTCTACCCCACATCCACCTAAGCAAGTTCCCACTCTCTCCACCTCAGCCTCACATGGTTTTACACTATAAAAGTCCCAGGAAGAGACAGCTTCCTGGGGAAACTACCCGCTCAGACCCCCTCCTGTCCCTCTCTGGGGACAGGAGCTTTGTTTCTTTCAATAAATATATTCTGCTCATAACCTCCATTTGTTCCTAAAATTCATTCTTCGGTTTTAGAGAATACGAACTCATGCAGGTCAGGTCGGGAGACTGTTTTTCCCCATGTCACTTGGAGGTTCCCTCTATGGTCTGGAGGTCACCCACTTGAGATCAGTTTTTCTCCCTGTATCAATAGACTTACTTAAGCATTATCTTCCTTACTGATTGCCTGCTTTGGGATGCTGGGACAGAGTATTTGGCTTCTACATTTCTAAATACCTAGCATAATACATCTAAGAAAACAAGTGCTACAGGGCTAGGGAGATAGCTCAGTATCTGCCTGGCAAGCACAAGGAACCATGTTCTATCCCAGGTACCACATGCAGTGCCAGCCACTGAAACCGAGTGTCGTGGTGCACACCTGTAATCCCAGTGCTGAGGAGCCTGAGATAGGAGTATCACTACAAGTCCAAACTGCAAGGCGAGACCTTGTACCAAATAAGTAAATAAGATTAAAAATAATAATTTAAAAATTAAATAAATGGGGCCAGGGAAATGGCTCAGTAGAATAAACACTTCCCTGGCAAGTGCAAGGGCCTGAGTTCAATTCCTGGTTCCGCAAAAAAAAAAAAAAAAAAAAAGGTAAAAATTAAATAAAAAGAGTTATAAGAAAGTGCTCAAAATTGATTATAGAATTGATGTCTAAAAAGGTAAAAAATACTCTATAATAATCATCATTTAAGAAAACCAGGTAAGTCATAATCAGTTCAATTTAATGTTCTCAGTATGCTAAAAACAATATACAAACTCATGCTGTATCAGTGATCATACCCAGTTTTCATGAAAAGATAAAACAGGTAGGAAAGTATGGCTAAGGAAGCTAACTTACACCTTGTAAGTACCGAAAAGACAAGATGGGGCCACTTAATGCCCCACAGTCACTGCTATCTTCAAAGTCTCCTTCTTCAAGCAGGAACTGCTGGCCTTTAAAGTGTTCTTTTTCATAGGCAACCCACCTAGAAGTATAAAAGACCATCAACTGAACTGTTAATAAAACTAGTCAAGAAAGCAAATGAGAGAAAAATCATGATAAAGCACAATTAACAGCCTCTATATTCTAAAAACCCCAACATCTGCTTTATTTCCATTTACAAAAAAAAAAAAAACTACACTTCATAGATTAATAGTTTTTACAGTTTGTAGGCTTTTCCCAATAAAAGGTTAATTGTAGAATTACAAAAGAGCAAGCTCATTAAATGTTCATGCCATGACTCACTACATCTCAGGATGATCAGAGATTTTGCCAAGTAAAAACAAAAGCATGTACAGCCAGTGAGAAAATAAACCCATTTTGAGATCCAAAGAAAACCACTCTTATTTTCTGAAGCTCAAAAATACAATACACCAGGGCTTACCAAAGAAGAATCAGGAAATGTGACTGAGCTACTACTACTCCTGGTGCCCTTATATGTACACAAAGACTTTTGCTGTAAATCCTTATGGGTGGACAATGTTGGTACCACCATTTTATCAATGGAGATCATGGGAACAGGAAGCACTATCACAGTTTACTTTCTAGGAACACAAGTTTCCTGACTTCTAATCCACATCATTAAGCGTTAAGCTCCTCTGTGACACTAAATTTTTCATGGGGTAGTCCACAGCATCTAATGCAGTGTGGGCACAGATGGTTCACACAACATGTGGACTTAGTGAACGGGCCTTTGGCTAGACTGCGTAATTAGGATCAAACCCCCCCCCCCCCCGGCATGGGCACATGGCTACTCTGAGCTCCACAGCTGAGACTTCTCAATGCGGGAACTCGACAAAATGAAGTCTATGAGGGCTACCTACTGTTGTTTACTTTTTTCCACCCTACTGTGATTGTCAAAATTCAAAAAATATTCCAAAAAACTTATTTTATAGGGCACAACAGTGCCTTATCAATAATCATTAATTTCCCCTTACTTTATATTAAGTGTGTGTGGTAGGGTGCAAGATAGGGTTTTGTGTATGAGAAAAAAAACCTATAAATCTATTTATACATCTTAATACATTTGTAATACATGGAGAAACTAATATTATTCTTAAATTATTACATAAAGATAAATTATACAGAAAACTAGTTTTCTTTTATTATAATATGGCTACTGAAAATATGCTTTTAATTATATTTGAATTAGGAAAAATAAGAGGTATAGAAGACAAGTGTCAAAGGCATGAATTACTATGAGTAAATCTATTACGTACTGACAGCTCAGAAATCTCTCCAGTCTGACTTAGTTTTATTAACTAAATTTTGACTAAGATACAATGTCAATTTATCCCTATCTGGGATAAATACATGTTACATAAGAAAAGAATATCAATTTCGCTTTCACCAGATTCCTTGCAATGGTACAGTAATGAGAAAAAGTCTATTATTATCCACAGTTAAAATTAAATGGGAATGGGAAAAATGTCCTGACTTTAAAAAGCAAAATATGGTAGAAATATTACAAAAGAACAAAGTCATTAGATTTTATTTATTTTTAAGTGGGAACATGTTTTTCCCGCAATTGTTGGCCATCATTTGAGATTTTTTTACAAATTAGTTGTAAATAAAACTTGGACAATAACAATATTCATCAAATTGAATTTTAATAGACAATTTCTAGAAAACTAGTTTTAGAACTATCCAGTCAATTGGAAAAACATTTAGGTCCCAATGAAAGGAAAGGGCAAAAATATTTTATACTGGGGTTAACAAGAAGGGTACATACTCACAACCCAGCAAAGAAAGATTACAAATAAATATATCACAACAAAAAAATGTTTATCCAAATCATTTTTGTTCTTTTAATCCCAAGTACATTTTCAAAATTTTAGAATAAATATTAAATGATTACTAGTGCATCTGCAAGTATCAAGATAATCAACACACCTAGTATTCTGCAGACTGACATTTTCACTTTTAACCATCAACTTAATTTACTTGCAGAAACCAAATTCTAAATCTGTATATACAATTTTGTTTGTTTTTTGTTGTTCTATTTCTGAGACAGGATCTTCCTTTTCAAGGCTGACCTTGAACTCACTATGTAGCTCAAATGGCCAAAAGTGAGTTGGTATTACAGGTGTCTGTCACCATGCCTGACTCTCTCTCTCTCTCTCTCTCTCTCTCTCTCTATATATATATATATATATATATATATATATATATATATATATATACTTTTTAAGTGACCTTCTTTTTCTTTTTCTTTTTTTGTACCAGGGATTAAATCAGGACCTTGTGCTTGCCAATCAGGCATTTAAGCCACTGAGCTTTATCTCCAGTCTTTTTTTTTTAATGACTATATAGAGTCTTTTTTTGAAATTAATTTTATTGAGAAAGAAATAGTAATGAGACAGTTTCAAAACAGGTTAGTAGGACAGCTAACAAAAATTAAAACATTGCATATTATTGTCTTTGTAGTAGTTATTCATAGTACAAGACACAGATACAATATCTCGTCTAAACACTATTAGTGCAAATCTTTCTTCTCATTGAACTAAGGGTCTCACTACACAGATCAGACTCAGTGATCCTCCTGCTATCAGCCTCCCAGGTACTGGGATTATAGGCACATGCCACGCCTAATCTCAATCCCTGTCTCAGTGCGCCCTGGGGCAGGGCCAACACAGCACAAGGTATCAAATCCCAGTCCCTGAGCCAGCCTAAGCAGGTGCTTTAGTCCACTGAGCTATCTGGCTGGCCCTTAAGTGACCTTTCTTAAAGTGCTTTCTCAAGAGCAGTGGAGAGGCACCAGTGTCTGACTCTGGAAACATACAACCCAGCCTAGTCCTTTGATAAGGGCTCACTACGGTCATCAGCACATAGGTTCTTATTCATACTATAACCTGCAAAAAAATAACTTTTACTTGTAATTCTTACTTTCTGTACTATATGTAAAATGTTAAGTGACATTTTAGGTTAAAGGTAAAACATAGTTTCTATCTCAAAATCTTTAATACCACCAACCAGAGTTTATAGAAACCTTTAGCAATACTTTTTACTTCTGATCTTACAAATGGATGTACACTTTAAGGCTGGCTGCTTCTGCAATAATCTTTAAAAGTCAGCTGATTATGTCGAATATTGAAAATATGATACTTACACTCCACCGATGACACGAATTGATCCAATTCCACAAAAGTCCCCACTGTTTTTTAAAAATTTTGGTACAGAATCTATATGTTCACTAAACTCTTTGGCCTGTCCATGGAAGTGAGGCTTTTCATAAATAATAACCTGAAAAATATGAAAAAAATTAACATGTTCACATTTTAGAACAGATAGATAATAACTTAATTGACACTAAAGCCACAACAAGTATTGGGCCAACTGTTTTCTTCATTAATATATTCATATAATATAACACAAAAAACATTCAGATATTCAGAATATTCAGATATTCACAAGGAATTTAGGGGGTCCTTAGGATTATAAAGGTAAAACACCTTAACATGCCTCTCTTATATTAGTATACCAAGCTATGATTACATTGTTTGGGTCACCCAAATCCTAGGACTGTCTCAAAGGCTAAACTATCTTCTAACTGATTTTTGGATTACTGTCATATATTTACTTCTATACTTTCAGGTTACTATACAGCTATGTCAGATTCATCAAATTTCCTTTATAAGAAATAAAAACTCCCTAATGGTTCCCTAGTATAACAAAATACCAACTGAGCTCAAAAACAGTGATACTATTTCTTACAGTACTAACTGCTTACTTGGTTACTTTTTAGTGAAAAAAAATAGATATACAGATTTTTTATTTAAACACAAAGCTTCCTAATCATAAGAACTGACTGGAAAAATTATGAGTTTTGCTAATTGGATATTTGACTCAAAGTTGGGAAGAGTGTAATGGGTCTATCAGAAAACAAATTTGTTATATTTCATTTACTGCAAGGCATGGTACAGCAGTTCTCTTAAACTATTATACTGTTCTTTACTTCTCAAGAAGCTGCCCCAAACATGTGGAAGTGACAGCAGTGATAAGAGCGCTAATATATCCGCAATTTATCAGTTCATGCCATTTGTGGCTCGTGAAATAATTTGTTTACAACTTACAACTCAACATCTTAGCAAATAAGACTACATGCTTATTTCTAAAAACAGATGACATTATATAGACTAAAAAATATATAAAACACTTACCTTACTATTTTCACTATTAGATTTTTATGTGGCTATATTTGAAGTCCTATGAGGTTTGTGTTTAATACATGTTACATGTGATGACTATATTTAAACTAAGTAAAAACAGCGATTCTTTGTTAAGTAAGCCATTATAGCATCATCATTATTGTCTAATAATTTTCAAATTGTGATTATTATAGCCAATTTATCTGTATATAATCTGTCAAAATTTTAAGTAGAGAACTACAGTATTAAAACCAATTTAGGTGACTTTACATCAACCAAGTTCCATATGCACGAAAAGTAAAACCTAATTAGTGAAATTCCATACCAGTCAAATTTGAGTAATATGTAAACTTTAAGTACAGAACTACAAACTGAGCAATCATGCTTGTAATCTCATGGGTTGACCATAGCTTTGTCCCACCTCATGCCCACCTAAACGAGTTCCCATGCTCTCCACCATCTCAGACCCGCCTCACCACATGGTTTTCTATAAAAGTCCCTGGAAGAGATAGCTTTCCGGGGACCACCCAGTCGGGGCTCCCCTTCTATCCCTCTCTCAGACAGGAGCTTTCTTTCCTTCAATAAATATATTCAGCTCATAAAAAAAAAGAACTACAAACCAACTTAATCAAACCAACTTAGGTGTCTTTATGTCAATGTAGTGGCCACTTTTAAAAAGGTCTCAGATTACAAATACAAAGAGACCATTGAGGTTTAGTCCTTGAATATGTGTGACCAGTTAAAGATTTAATTTTACTGCATAGCACTTCTAATAAAAGAGTGGAATCATCAGTAGACTAAGAAATCACATTTGCCCGAAGACCCAACCTGTCATATTTAAAGTTCTGGTTAACTTGACCAGGAAACTGAGACAGAAGTCATTCAAAGAGTGCCATGCTAATTCTACATCTACTGGAACAGTAGTATGTAACTTTGGTTACATTTTCAAATTACTCTGGAAGTTTTAGATTTTTTATCCACACCCTATACCAAAATAGTTTCTCTAAGAGTAGAGGCTAGTCATAAGTATTTTTTAAAAATAAACTATACGAGATTCCAACACACAAAGTCTAACACACACAGACAGTTAAGTTTTAAAAGATTCCATCTATGCAATAAAATGGCAATCAATTCTTATAAACAAGGAAGCCCAGAAATAGGAGGATTGGAGGACTTGTGTCTGGTTTGGGAGGAGAGGAGGATAGATAAATTCCTTTTCCCACACATGCCTCTGGCTAGAGATGTCAATCTTACTTATGAGAAAGGTTATCAACATCTTTGATCACTGAACCAATTTTCTTGCTGTATCTCTTTACATATATATATA